ATAGCTTGGTGCTTATTTCAAACAAACATTTGGTCAATTCTTTTGCATACTGCAGCTATTTATCCATCCTATTTATACTAAGATAGATCCTCTTCTTCACCAGCTTTCGTCTTGGTTACTGCTTCCCAATTCCTTTTGCCAAACTTGTCTTCAACCCCGGTCATAGACATCACTTTGCTAGTTTGGGGATATTTGAAACTCTATAGGTTGATTAGAGACCATCAGTAAGGACTACTTGTAACGCAGCTCCCATCTCTCAGTTAGAGAAGGGCAGCATATATAAATCCTAGCTTACAAGCAGAGCCTGCAAGGTGATTGCTGGTTGGGGCCACAGTGTGAGAGTTATTTTATGCTCCTTGAGGTTGAAAAGTGCTGTGTATAACTTAGGGTGGGAAGTGGGTATCATAAACAAAACAATCTTGTACATTGTAAAGATCTGGGGATCTTATGGGAGGGAGTCCCATAAACACCTGTTCAAGTCTGTGATGACAGCTGATAATGCTTTCGGGGTCAGGCTTCCGTCTGCAGCTGTGCTTACATTCTCCAAGGAAAAACCAGCCTCTTTTCCCATCCTTAAGAAATTACTCTCCCTGACTATTTGTAGAGCAGCAATCAGAAACCATATATGCCGCAAAACATGCTTTTTAAGGAAGAGAGAGGTTAATGGGATCTGTAAAACAGTATAACATGATTGGTTTCACATCTGGAAAAGAACATAAAGAAACTTGTACAGTCTGGACGATTTTTCGTTTTCCATCTGTTGTTTCAACTTCTATGTAATGTGAGGAACAAGATGACTAATTGTTTGACTGATTGTACAAACAAGTCCAGAGTTTAGTATGCTATTTTGTGCAATATTATCAAAGAGAGTACAGTAACTTTAAATGTTTCACATGTAAACAGTTTACATAAGCAAATTCTGAAATAAAAATAACATAGTTGTTATTATGTAGCATGACTAATAACACTTCTGAACCTTTGTTTCAAACACTTACTGTTTAAATAACTAAAGTATACTAGAAAAATACAGTAATTTCACTGTTTTCTTTTTGTAATGCTTAAACTTCTGTAAAGTTGATGTGAAACTTGAAAACTTTATTTAATGTATGATATTTACTTTTGTGTGTATAAGAAACTGAAGAATCTGGATGCAAGCATTGAATCAGTACGTAAACCCATGTTGTCAGGTTTGTGCTGTGAGTGTTTCAGAAATTCAGTTTCACACACTTGATAATGATTGTTGCTCTCTGCTGGGACTCCCTGAAATTAAGGGGGATTTGTATCAATACAATCTATCCTACAGAAGACACAGGTTTTCTAGCTAAATATATGGGGTGGCAAAACCAATTCTGTGTAAAAGAGGTCGCCACATTAGAGCCTTTTCCTGACTGGTGAGAAGAATAAACTGTTCCAATATGAAGCACATCTCAGACCGTTTGTGACAGACAACAAAGCACTGTAATTCTGTTGATGAAAATGTCACACTCCTTTCTCTACAGAATTAAATGAATGAAACTTGTGACTTTAGATGAGTTCTGTATTACAGTAGCCAAGCCCTGGGAGAGTTTCAAACCATATTTAGGTATCCTCAGTTCATCCAAAGCCCAGATGCTTAACATCCCCTCTCTGGTCCTGGTGGATCCGTCCTCTTTGCTATCACTTTTCAAAGGCCTTCAGAGCTACCCAGCTTTCTCCTTTCATTAGACATGAGGATTTAAATGGAGTGTAGGCTGTCCAAATGTGGTAGTTATGACTGTGTTTGCACCACAGGAGCAGGACTCCAATTTATTCTTATTTCTCTACTCTGAAAGGAAGCATAGGAGATGTATAAAGATACAAACATATATCTATACAGCTACATCTAAATTTTTCTTGCTTTTCCAAGAAGCTGCTGCATCACAGTTTGTCAGTGTGTTTTCATTTTTTATAACTTCCTTTTGCTCATTATGTTTTGTACACACACTCTTCTTAAAGGCATTTAAGTTCTGATGAGTACGTTGATCAAAGTTGGTGTAATTTGACTTAAAATCTTCTTTTTGAACAAAAAGAGATCAGTATGGTTCCTTGGCAATGTGGCCTTATTTTGTTTTAAAATGGGTAAGCAGTTTTCGTGTGAGAGATTGAGCAATCGAATTTTGAGCTGTTCAGGAATTTTTTTTGATTGCATTATTTCTTTTTTTTTTTTTTTTTTTCTGGTGAACATCTGGATAATTTTCAACAAAGGAAATAAAAATAGTAATAGAAGCAGCTTGCTAACTCCTAGGTAGCTCCTGGGAAATGTACTCACACTTGACTCTTCTTGGGCAGTCCCACTGCACTCAGTGGTGCTGCAGGATTTGGGGGATTAATGGACATCTCTGTCTTCTTGGCGCTACATAAAATTTCCTTCCCAGATATTCTCAGCACCTTGCTATTCCAGGGTTGTTTCGAGGTGGTGTGTATCAGGCAGAGAAACTAGGTAGAGACAAGGAATTCATTACTTCACAGAAATATTCACATGGAAAAGATTAACGTTGGTCAGATTAGCATCTACCCACAAAATAATTAAAAGTGAGTCACTATACAAGGTGCTGCTCAGTGTCAAGAGCAGGGGTAGGCAGTGAGTGCCTGGGCAGGCAGTGGTGTGAGCACCAAACACAGATCTCCCATTGCAGCTCTCCCCGCAGGGAGCAGTGTGGTCCTCTCCTGGGGTGTGGGCTTTGGGTCCACCTTCCCCAAAGCATTTGCCTGCAGACACAAAATCAGTCCCTTACAGGGAGCCAGAGCTTTGACCTGCCTTTGATTGTCATCCAGGCGAGTGAAATAATTACACTGACAATCACGTTATCAAGGCACATCTGAGCTAATACCTTAATTACAGAACTTCTTTGAGTTATTTTTGCATGCTCCCTGCAGGCTCATGGAAGTCAGGTCTGTACCACAAGAGGGTTTTTTGGTTACAGCCGTTTTCTCTAGACTTGTTAAGGAATGGTGAAGTTCACCAGCAAAATAATTCAGTGTGCACACCTAACTTTGCTTCACATTTCTCAGCTTTCCCTCATGCCAGTTTCAGGCAAAGACTTTTCCACCTGTTCACATGAGGAAAAGCTGTTCTTGAATTTGTATTCCTCAATAATTCAATGTGTGGATGCTTATTCTAATACAAGGGTGACTTCCTTTGATACAATGTAACATTTCAGCAAAGATATCACACTTTGTTAAAAGCTGATCTTTACAAGTTTACATTTCTTATCTAGACAAACCCTAACTATTTTTAAGAAGGAAATGCAGATTCCATCAAGGAGTGTTTTCAGAGCAGGGATGGTGTTGTGTGTAGACATACATTGCCTCTGTCCAAGCTCTGATTCAGGGATAAAGTGGAGTATTTTAGTCCCATAAGGTACCCATCTTCAAGAACCATCCCAGAACAGACCCATTATTTCCCTTTGGAAAAGCAAATTCAAAATTATTTCTCTAAACAAACATAACTCATCAGTTCCCTGTCTTTCAGCATACAATTTCAGGTCCCAGACCTCTGTTTGGTAATTATTTTTCCATGTGTGTATTCTTTTACATATATACACTTTCATTTTTAGTTGTGAGAGGTGCTGACAGGAAAAGAAACACTCTTTTGGTACCTTTCAACATTTCTGAAATTTAGATTTGTTACAGACTGAAAAAATCCAAAATGTTTCAGTGGTTTTTTGGCAATACAGAATTAAATATGAATATTTTTATCCTGATAAAAAGTGGTCAGCTTTTTACCTTTTTTTCCTTGAAACTGCATGATGACTGAGATAATTTTATTCAAATTTACACCCAAATTAGTATGCCTTAATGAAATGTTTAGTCATGCAGTTATTTGTATGTCTACAGAAGGCAGACCATCTTGTGAACTCTGACTGGCATGCATGTGGTCTGGTGCACACACAGATTTTGGGGTGGGGGCATGGAGTAAGTTCGAGATTATAGCCCCTAAATGATCCTTTAGAGAATTAATCAGGTATCAGCTACTTTTACCAGTATCAGAATACTTGGACATAATATTTTACAGTTTTTCAGCTTGGTTACCTCCACTTTAACAAGAGGTGAAAGCTATAAATCTCTCTAAAAGTGAATGGAGGTCTAAACAGCTACAGAAGTAAAGGCCTTCCAGGAGCCGCTGGCACTGCATTATTTTGTGAAGGACACTGTACAACTAATGGTGCCTGCCTGTTTAGTGTGAAAAATACATCTATTAGTTAAAAGCCCCCCTCCCTGTACCAAACGGGACAGAAACAGCCTAAAACTGAAAGGAGGGTGACCAAAGGAGGCACATCTGAGGCAGTGGCCAGGCTTTTCCAGGTGGCCAGGGTGGGAAGAGAGGGAGGGTTAGGTCCCAGCTGCGGGGGTTACAGGAATTTGGGGTGAGAAGGTTAATGACCTGGCATCGCTGCAGCCATTCCTCCATTGTACCGTGCCTCTGCTGAACTCCAGACGGGGAGCGCCTTCCTTACAAACAGCTCCCCACCCCCAAACCCCAACCTAACCCTAACCCAGCATCTTTTGTATGAACTGAGCACTTCTTGGGCTAGTTAAGCCGTACGGTTTCTGGTTCCAGACAATGTGCATTTAAGAGGTTTGCTTTTTGTGGGGAAGAAAAAAACAAAGAAGAAGTTGGGAAAATAGGGAATGACAATATTGTAGATGTGAATATTAAGTGAAATTAATTCTCTCTGTAATTTCTCCCAAAGTTGATGACATCCCAGTTATGATGGTTGTTAGGTATGGTGTTTGTTTCTGCAGTTACGTATGGGCAACGTGTTAAAGTTGCTCAAGACATTCTTCAAGCTGCTTAGCAAGCAGGCTTGTTTTCTTGGAGATTTTTAGTAAAACAAGTTCAGTACCACCTCAAGTTTATCATTTGATACAAAACTCTGATAGTTCAGCATTTTATATAAAAGTGTATTTTAAGAGGCTTCAGTATTGGGCATAAAGTTTAATTTTTAATGTAATATTGGACCACCTTTTCTTGTCAACAGGATTATTTTACAGATGAAAACAGAGTGCTCAAAAAGGACCCTCAACAGGATTACCATCTGGAATATGCCATGGAAAACAGTACACATACAATATTGGCTTTTAGCAGAGAACTGCACACTTGTGACACAAATGACAAGAGCATAACGGTAAGAGGACCTGCCTATATGTAGTGAGACGAAGCAATTAATACAGGCCAAATGTATGTATGTGGTTATGAAGCTGATTATTAAATCTCATCTTAGTAAAAGGACAGAATTAGAGAAATTCACTTGCCAAAACATCTTCTTGGTCAACTTAAATCAACCAGGTGAAATACTTGTGCTAGTTTTATTAAATCATATTTTAATTTTGTCTTGTTTTGTCCTTCTATTCTAATGCATTATGTTCTCTAATTTCTAACACAGCAAGTGAACACAGGATTGAAACAGGTACCTCTGGGCAATCAAGTCCCATATCCTAACATTACAATCATTCAAGAGATGCAAGCTTGAGAAACAATTTTTAGGTCCTATGCTAACTTGTAATTGATCTTAAAGGTAGACTTTTTAAAAAGTTTGGAGCAGATGTGTTTAAAGTATATATTTGCTTTATTTATTCAAAATTAAAATGTTGAAGAGTTTTATCATAAAATTCTTTCCATGGTAAAATACTTCTCATGCTAAGTTCTTCTGTTGCCCTAGGAACTGCTATACTGTTTCCTAAGCACAGTTTTAAATCATATGAAGATGAAGAGTTCTGTATTGGAAATGACAGATAGATTTTCAAGGCTTTCTATGCTTTGGCTTGTTTACTGCTCATTTTGGAAGCCTTGCTATAGTAGTTCAACAATATTTTCATTATCCATGTTTTCACAGTATGCACAATAATAACAACATGATGAGCTGAAAGATGCAGGAAACAAACCACAGCTGTATAAACAGACAGATTTCCAGGCAGTCAATGGATCTACGGTTTCCACACCTGCTCCAGATTCTCAGTATAATTTAACATCCTGGGACACTTCAGGATTTATTGAAGTACTTTTTCTCAAGGGTGGTTATTGCAGCCTGAGAATGGTTTACAGGGAATTGATCTGTGCTGTGGCTGTAGATTGATTTTTAAGATGTAAATGTGTTCTGTATGTCTCTCTTCCCTAGCACGTGAGGACAACAGTCCACAGAAGGTATTCTCATCTTTACAGAGCTGAGCCTGGAAGATATTTTTGGGGGGAACCTTCTGATTGCTGTCCAAATAAGTGACATCTCTAAAACACTATTTTTTCATGCATTTAGTTGGTTACTTCTTTGTTAGTCTGCTGGTTGTAGATATGATTTAAATTCACATTAGTGAAGGAACCTACCACAGAGAGATTCATCTTGTGCATATCTGCAATGAAGCCCATGAGTATAAAACATTATTAATTTTAAAGGCAAAATTATGTCAGTAGGTGATGATTGACTGATCCTTTAGTATAGGTAGTCATTGTTCAAATACAGCAACGCTGACATCATCGCTCTCACAGGAATTATGTGAAGTATGTAAAGAAGATTTTGTTCCTATTCCTTATGGACTTTTTTGGTTTTGTCATTTTTGTGGGGGTTTTTTCTTCCAGGAGAGCACAGTGCGGGTAATATGGGCATACCACCACAAAGACATGGGAGAAGCAGGTCAAAACTACCATGGGTCTAATCGTGGTACAAAGAGTCTCCGTTTACTGAATCCTGAGAAAGAAGAAGTCTCATTTGCCTCTTTGCCATACTTTGACTTGACAAACAAAGACGTAAGTTACTCTGGGGTTTGGGTTTATATGGAGATGGGGATAAGTTGGTAGCCAAAGCTTTGGACTTATGCAGCAGGGTGATGTGACTTTTATAATATTGTGTCTTTGCCCTTTTTATTAAGACAGGTGCCTGTACCAGACAAGGATACAACATATTGGTGCCAAATGTTTAAGATTCCTGTACAACATGAAAAGCATCACGTGACAAAGGTAAGTGATTCAGACTGAGCAAATTTAAAGGAGCTTAGGTAACAGTTATGCTTCAAATCAGTTCTTGCACTTTCAAAATTTACTTATTGGAGGGAAAACACTCCAATATGTGTATGTGTACGTGTGTGCCCAGGACCTGATTCTGGTGTGCCCTGATGACCGGCACATGCAGTGAAAGAGACCCTTTCTCTTCCTCTATACACTTTTTCTCTTAAGAAAATGAGGCTGAAAATTATTTCTGTCTGTAAACATTTCTGGCAAAGGCAAAGTAAAAATTGTCTAAAAGCATGTTTCATCAAGTTTCTAATTTTATGGGAGAATTCAATGCATTTCTTTTAACAGAGAATAGTTTTAGATTAAAAAAATATTTAAATGGTGAAGTTTGTTCAAATAAAGGGCCAGGTTCTTATTTGATTCCAGTCACCTCTCTTGTGATTACCACAGTGGAGTTATGCCACATTACATCAAATGAGCACAGACACCATTATCTTCAGCTGTGTAAAAGTAAAATATTGTCAAAAAGAGATGGATGTTGTATTTCATTTAAAAATTATTGAAGATGTGTAAATATCCACACAGGGTTCAGTGGAATCCAAGAAGATTTCAAAACCGAGGTGCACAAACGTGTTCTCCTATAGCACATTTTCTGTCTTTTTTTTTTTTTCTTGAACTGAAAGCTGAAAACTTTGAAAACTGAAAGCACTGAAAGTTCTGGGGGAAAGATGGTTGTCACATTTCTTCCCAAGAGCAATATACGGCAGACCTCTTAAAAGAAGAACTTATTATTGTTTTAAATGGCTTAAGATAGCACAGTGAGGTAGCTCAGGTCCTCATTTTTTATCTATCTTTGAGCACATTAAAGCTTTTAAGTATACAATTATATGCCTTTTTATATTATTGTCAGTTATATTTCTCCAATGCATTCAGTAAGACCGAAACTTTAAATTAACTCAGAGAACTTAACATGTGATCTCCAGTGTATGTATGTCTGAGAAATACCTATAGGATTACCTATATACCTACTAGTATACTTATTATAGTAATACCTATATACCTTTTCTAAAATATTGTGGGATTCTGCACTTTATCAGAATGAAGAATTGCAAGACCCAAATTTGTGCCTTCTGCTACTTGATCTTTAATCACATTTGAAATTTATGACAGCTTCTTTCACAGATCTGTGTGAAAAGCAAAATTTGCTTGTAATATAGTATATATATGTTGGGCTTCCTAGCTTTCTTCTTTTAAGTGAGAGAGCTTCAAAACAGTAGTATCAGAATCATGCTTTCCATGTTAAGTTTGGTGGAAGCTGTTCTGTTAAAAAGGTCACTGAAACTATTTATTATTTATATTTTCTGAATTTATTTTTTAAAATGTTTTGCCTGAGTAAGGTTGGAGGATGCTGAATGATGATTTTAGTTCAAAAACACACTGAATAATTTTTCATAATAGTTTCATATTCTTTATTTTTATGATGATTTATTAAGATTATAATTTTAGAAATCATATTTTGAAATCAGTTTGTTTTTTATAAAGTTAGAAATAAAAGTAGAATTCTCTGCAATTTACTGCCTTCAGAAAAACAAACAAATTTCATCTTGCCTTTTAAAGAATGTTTAGAGAGAGAAAAATTATCACAGAAAGAATCATGTACGAACACTTCCTTAGCATTTCTTTTCAGGGGCACAACTTAAATATATGTATATGTGACTTTTGTAGATGACATATAGAGGGCTGTTGTGGAATTGTATCTATGCACCCTTGCAAACTGATTAAACATTTCCTAAAGCCTACTGATAGACAAAGGATGGGGCTTATGGCTATTCCAGAGGATATTAGCTATGAAAACGAAGATTGAATTTCACTAAGAGGACGATAAATGAATATTTGGCCTGATCAAACTGTCTGTGTTAGTTAAATGCTTACAGACATGTTGATTCTGGATTCTTTCTGTAGCACCATTTTCATACAAATCTCATTTTTACAGAAAAAAGAAAAAAAAGTTTAGAAAATGATACAAATTCATCTCTGGTATAGCTCACCCTACTTAAGTAGGGTACATAGGAGCTGACTTTGGCCATTTCTGTCCTCCTGTACGATTCTGTAGAACACTGAACTGCAGTTCACCTCTTGCTGGGCCATGCATGCCATCAACATCACGGAATTCTGTGCTTAGCTATGTGCATGTGTAAATCCGA